AAAAAAAAAAAAAAACAGAGCTCAGTACTTTACTGAGTAGGCATGGCAAACAAATCACTGTATGGTATGAGATAAATAATTTTAGATGTGGTCCTAATCAGTAAAATACACCAGTTGCTCCTTCATTTTGAGAATCAATCTCCGAGTTTAATGTGTCTATAAATGTACCTTTTTGCTTATAGAATTTTTTGTGTGGGTTGTAATTATCACTTTTTGTTCTCTGTGTACTCTTTAAAATAGCCATTTTATTGATGGCCTTTCTAATAATAGTTTTCTATTTTGTTTTTATAGTACTTTGTCAGACTTTTATCAAAATGGGGCTTCTGTCTTCCTTCACTTGTAGTGATGAGTTTAGCTCATTGAGACTACATCACAACAGAGCTATTACTCATTTAATGAGATCTGCTAAGGAGAGAGTTCGTCAGGTAAGCCATAAAGTCTACTTTCTGTATAACAACAATACATTTTGATTTAAGAGAGCTATAATTTAAAGTATTATGAAATCTAAATTATAAAACATGCTTTTAAAAATATAAACTTCGTTGACTGATTAATATTGTTTGGCTCTTTTGTAGGTGCCTAAGGTAAAGCAGTTAACAAAATTGACAAAAATTTTTGCTCTCATGGAGCTTATATTCTGATGAGGGGACAGTAAACAACTGAAAAAAATGTAAAAATGTAGGGGTATTAGGTGTCGATAACATAAAGCACTGAAGGGACTCAAACAATGTTGGGAGTGACAGTGTGAATTTTATACAGGGGAACCAAAGAGGGCCCCATGGAGACAATGGTGACATCTGTAGGAAAAGCATTCTGGGTGGAGCAACAGTATAGCTGACCTGGGAGCAACACAGGATTAGGGGCACCGACCCTCACACAGTAAAAAATCTACATGTATGGGCGGCGCCTGTGGCTCAAAGGAGTAGGGTGCTGGCCCCGTATGCCGGAGGTGGCGGGTTCAAACCCAGCCCCGGCCAAACACTGCAAAAAGAAAAAATAAAAAAGAAAAATCTACATATAACTTCCCCAGAACTTAATTGCGAATAGCCTGCTGTTGACCAGAAGCCTTCCAGCAACGTAAGTGGTTGATTAAACATATTTTATATATTATATGTATTAGGTACTATGTTCTTACGATGAAGTAACAGAAAAGGAGGTGCTATTAAAATCATAAGGAAAAGAAAATATATTTACTATTTGTTTATGGCCTCCACATTGAGTAGGCTGAAGAGGAAGAGGAGGGCGGGATGATAGGAAGGAGGTCGAAAGAGAGGCAGGCATACTTGGTGTAGCTTTTATTGAAAAAAAAATCTGTGTTAAGTGGACTCTTAAAATTCAAATTTGTGTTGTTCAGAGATCAGCTGTAACTACAAGGGTCCTGAGATAGTAGTGTGCTGTATGTTTGGGGAACTACAAAGCAGTCATGTGGCTGGTCTGGTGTAAGCAAAAAGGAGCATTCAGGAAAGCAGGGGCTAGGAGTGTAGGGAGGAGGAGGGTTGGAGCGAGGTCTTGAGGCCATTGTGTTGTCTTTGGTTTTATTTTATTCAGAAGCAGATTTTGCAGGATTTTGAACAGAGGAGCAATATAATTTGACTTGCATTTTAATGAGATCACACCAGCTGCTGTGTTGAGAGTGGACTTAAAGGTGCAGGCAGAAGTAGGGAGACAGGTGCATTATATAGGCAAGTAAAGGTGGAGCAGCTAAGGGGTAGTTTCTCCATTTATATTGAAGGTTACATCAACATTGTTTGCTCTTGGAGCTTTGTAGTAAATTCTCAGCTTTGAAATATTTTCGGTTGTAAACTCCTAAGTAATATTGAAAAGCCAGTGGTTTGCTTTTTGTTTTTTAAATATTGTTTGTGTATTTGGGGCTATGAACATGACATTGAATTTTGATAGTCTTTATTCCTTGAAAATTTGCAAAATACTTTTTCAGAATAGCTTTTTTGTTTTAGGATCCTTGTGAAGATATTTCCCATGGCGAGAATTTCAGGTATTGTTATACTTTTTGATTATGCAAAGACTGAACTATTTTTTTTTTTTTTTTTTTT